TGTGTGTGTGTGTGTGTGTATATATATATATATATGTGTGTGTGTGTGTGTGTATATATATATATATATATGTGTGTGTATATATATATATATATATATGTGTGTGTGTGTGTATATATATATATATATATATGTGTGTGTATATATATATATATATATATGTGTGTGTGTGTGTATATATATATATATATATATATGTGTGTGTGTGTGTGTTTGTGTGTGTGTGTATATATATATATATGTGTGTGTGTGTGTGTTTGTGTGTGTGTGTATATATATATACTGTATATATATATTATTATTTAGTGTGTGTGTGTTTTGCACTGTAGTCTCACTTTGAGAAGAGTGAAATAAATGTCACCATCACACCGCAGATCTCCAATAAGGGTCTTATAAGCTTTAATCCACTCTTACATAGTTACAGCAAAGAAACGTTTCGGAGTCCCGCGGGACCCTTTCATCAGGCATGTGACACCAATAGCCAATAGTCGCTGCAGCACCCGTCTACACATGCACCCATTTTGTGACGCAAAAACTTGTGTATTGGGATTTCTCAAATGTGTGCAGTAAAGTGAGGATCTCTTAAAAAGGCAGCCTGGGGTGGGATGGGAAAGATTAATGGGTATTTTAGTTTGCATAAGAACCAAAGTTTAAGTGACTGCAATGTATTGTAGGGGACTTATGTCTTTGGCCGAGAGGGTCTTTGAGCAAAGTGTACCTGGAAGGAAATAGGGGGAAATAGATTCACTCTCAAATTTACACCAGAGGACTGTGGAGTTGCTAACATTCCAGTGAGCTATTTGGGACAGGCTAACCTGTGCAGCCAAATGAATGGTAGAGCCAGGCCTCCTGTATTATATACTCAGAATTATTATTATTATCAGGATTTATATAGCGCCAACAGTTTATGCAGCTCTACAACATAAGGGCAGACAATACAATTACAATAGGGTTGTTCTGGAATAGCAGGGTGTGACGGGAGTCCTTCGGGTGGGGGGCTCATGGAACCCAGCTTACTTTGCAGAGGTTGGGAGACCCCCTGTCTTAATTCCCCATATCCCTCTTATGTCTCTTAGGGGCACAGGGTGACTGATGGACGCTGAGAATGCGGTTGGAATGACTTCAGATGGGACAGTAATATTTATCAGCCATATGAAGACTATTCCTGGTTGTTGATTCTGAACTAGACATGTGAATTGAAAGAGCTGATCACGCCGGGCTCTCCTCTACTCCAGTGTAGGAGCTGGACCGTCTGCTCTGTAGTGAGATCCTAATTCATCCAACCATTGTCTAGGTGTGATTCCCATTCACCTTTTGTTTCATCACCCAGCTAGCTGACCTAATGAACTTACTGTGTAGAGTGTGAAGTCTATTCCTGTATATACAGTCATGGCCGAAATTGTTGGCACCCTTGATATTTTTCCTGAAAATCAAGTATTTCACACAAAAAGGTATTGCATTAACACATGTTTTGCTATACACATGTTTTTTCCCTTTGTATGTATTGGAACAAATATAAAAACAGAGGCAGAAAAGCAAATATGACATAATGTCACACAAAACCCCAAAAATGGGCTGGACAAAAGTATTGGCACCCTTTTAACTTAATATTTGGTTGCACAACCCTTTGGAAAACATAACTGAAATCAGTCGCTTCCTATAACCATCAATAAGCTTCTGACACCTCTCACCGGAAATTTTGGACCACTCTTCCTTTGCAAACAGCTCCAGGTCTCTCTTATTGGAAGGACACCTTTTCCAACAGCAATTTTAAGATCTCTCCACAGGTGTTCAATGGGATTTTAGATCTGGGCTCATTGCTGGCCACTTCAGAACTCTCCAGCGCTTCTTTGCCATCCATTTCTGAGTGCTTTTTGACGTATGTTTGGGGTCATTGTCCTGCTGGAAGACCCAGGATCTTGGACGCAAACCCAGCTTTCTGACACTGGGCCCTACAGTGCGACCCAAAATCCTTTGGTAATCCTCAGATTTCATGATGCCTTGCACACAGTCAAGGCACCCAGTGCCAGAGGCAGCAAACAACCCCCAAAACATCATTGAACCTCCACCATATTTTACCGTAGGTACTGTGTTTTGTTCTTTGTAGGCCTCATTCCGTTTTCGGTAAACAGTAGAATGATGTGCTTTACCGAAAGCTCTATCTTGGTCTCATCTGTCCACAAGACGTTTTCCCAGAAGGCTTTTGGCTTACTCAAGTACATTTTGGCAAACTGTAGTCTTGCTTTTTTATGTCTCTGTGTCAGCAGTGGGGTCCTCCTGGGTCTCCTGCCATAGCGTTTCATTTCATTTAAATGTCGACGGATAGTTCGCGCTGACACTGATGCTCCCTGAGCCTGCAGGACAGCTTGAATGTCTTTGGAACATGTTTGGGGCTGCTTATCCACCATCCGGACTATTCTGCGTTGCAATCTTTCATCAATTTTCCTCATCCGTCCACGACCAGGGAGATTAGCTACAGTGCCATGGGTTGCAAACTTTCTTGATAATGTTGCGCACTGTGGACAAAGGCAAATCTAGTTCTCTGGAGATGGACTTGTAACCTTGAGATTGTTGATATTTTGCCACAATTTTGGTTCTCAGGTCCTCAGACAGTTCTCGTCTCCTCTTTCTGTTGTCCATGCTTAGTGTGGCACAGACAGACACACAATGCAAAGGTTAAGTGAACGTCTCTCCTTTTTATCTGCTTTCAGGTGTGATTTCTATATTGCCCACACCTGTTACTTGCCCCAGGTGAGTTTACAGGAGCATCACATGCTTGTAACATTCTTATTTATCCGCAGTTGTGAAAGGGTGCCAATACTTTTGTCCAGCCCATTTTTGGAGGTTTGTGTGACATTATGTCGAATTTGCTTTCTTTCCTCCCTTTTTTTGTTTTGTCCAATACACACAAAGGGAATAAACATGTGTATAGCAAAACATGTGTTAATGCAATACGTTTTCGTGAGAAATACATGATTTCCTGGAGAAATATCAAGGGTGCCAACAATTTCGGCCATGACTGTAGCTGCATTTCCATATGATCATGTGATCAGTCTCCGTGTATATTGTATGATCATGTGATCAGTCTCCGTGTGTATTGTATGATCATGCGATCAGTCTCAGTGGTATTGTATGATCATGCGATCGGTCTCAGTGTGTATTGTATGATCGTGCGATCGGTCTCAGTGCGTATTGTATGATCGTGTGATCGGTCTCAGTGCGTTTTGTATGATCGTTGTGATCGGTCTCAGTGCGTATTGTATGATCGTGTGATCGGTCTCAGTGCGTATTGTATGATCGTGTCTTTTGTGATCGGTCTCAGTGCGTATTGTATGATCGTGTGATCGGTCTCAGTGCGTATTGTATGATCGTGTGATCGGTCTCAGTGCGTATTGTATGATCGTGTGATCGGTCTCAGTGCGTATTGTATGATCGTGTGATCGGTCTCAGTGCGTATTGTATGATCGTGTGATCGGTCTCAGTGCGTATTGTATGATCGTGTGATCGGTCTCAGTGCGTATTGTATGATCGTGTGATCGGTCTCAATGCGTATTGTATGATCGTGTGATCGGTCTCAGTGCGTATTGTATGATCGTGTGATCGGTCTCAGTGCGTATTGTATGATCATGTGATCGGTCTCAGTGTGTATTGTATGATCATGTGATCGGTCTCAGTGCGTATTGTATGATCATGTGATCAGTCTCAGTGTGTATTGTATGATCGTGTGATCGGTCTCAGTGTGTATTGTATAAAATGCCCATTTGAGTTTAAAATAAAGAGTTCCATGTTCGGACAGACTGGTGTCATCTAGTCTTGTATGGTTGGCTGTGGTGTCAGTGGTCGGTGTTCAGGCAGACTGGTGTCGTCTAGTCTTGTATGGTCTCTGTGGTGTCAGTGGTCGGTGTTCGGACAGATTGGTGTCGTCTAGTCTTGTATGGTCGGCTGTGGTGTCTGTGGTCGGTGTTCGGACAGATTGGTGTCGTCTAGTCTTGTATGATCGGCTGTGGTGTCAGTGGTTGGTGTTCAGGCAGACTGGTGTCGTCTAGTCTTGTATGGTCGGCTCTGGTGTCAGTGGTCGGTGTTCGGACAGATTGGTGTAGTCTAGTCTTGTATGGTCTCTGTGTGGTGTCAGTGGTCGGTGTTCGGACAGACTGGTGTTGTCTAGTCTTGTATGGTCAGCGGTGGTGTCAGTGGTCGGTGTTTGGACAGACTGGTGTCATCTAGTCTTGTATGGTCGGCTCTGGTGTCAGTGGTTGGTGTTCGGACAGACTGGTGTCGTCTAGTCCTGTATGGTCGGCGGTGGTGTCAGTGGTCGGTGTTCAGGCAGACTGGTGTTGTCTTAGTCTTGTATGATCGGCTGTGGTGTGTCAGTGGTTGGTGTTCAGGCAGACTGGTGTCGTCTAGTCTTGTATGGTCGGCTCTGGTGTCAGTGGTCGGTGTTCGGACAGACTGGTGTCGTCTAGTCTTGTATGGTCGGCGGTGGTGTCAGTGGTTGGTGTTCGGACAGACTGGTGTTGTCTAGTCTTGCATGGTCGTCTGTGGTGTCAGTGGTCGGTGTTCAGGCAGACTGGTGTCGTCTAGTCTTGTATGGTCGGCTGTGGTGTCTGTTGTCGATGTTCGGATGGGGAAGCGGTAGTCTAACGGAAGTACTCAAGCTCAGTTGGGTCGGTTCCATTACACATGGGTGTGAGTTGGCTAAAAAACACTTATTAAGTTGGAGAAAGTCCAAAAATGTTTTGTAAGTCTAGTTAGAAGGACCCTAAATAAATAGAAGAGTTTTGGAAGGATATTCTTTTTTTTATAGCAGTGACTGCCTAGGAAAGAAATGTGGTTTGTACGTCACATCTTAGTCATCTGAATTTTGGAGATAATGGGAAAGTTTTTGCTAAATAGAGAATTTATACTGGCCCCTGAACAGGTAAGTATTACTCATCTTCTAATTTAGAGTTCTTGGACTTCAGTCTTTTCCAACAGGTTCCCATTAAGATTGATATATTTCGTTAGAGTCTTGATATGGATGTTAAGGTTTGTCTTACAGCTGCATTGATCTCTTGGTTCCTCAGGGTGTAAATAAAGGGGTTCACTAGTGGGGTGATCACTGTATACAGCAGAGATACAATTTTGTTCGCTGTCAAAAAATGTCCAGGTGGGACCACATAGACCACAATCATGGTGGTGTAATATGTGAAAACGACTCCCAGGTGGGAACTACAGGTGGAGAAAGCTTTCTCTTTGCCAGTGGAAGATGAAATCCTAGCAATGGCACGGATAATAAACCCATAAGTAACAATGATTACCAGGAATGGGAACATAGTAGCTGAGGATGAAAGGAAACATGTAACTATTTCAACCATGGAAGTGTCCGAACAGGCAAGCTTCAATATCGGAATAAAATCACAATAGAAATGGTCAATGTTTTCTCTACAGAAATACAAAGTGTTCACAACACATAAAGCAATGGTCATGATCAGGAATCCCAACATCCAGCAGACAAGGATCAGACAAAGGCACAGCCTGGGGTCCATAATCAGTGTGTAATGAAGAGGTTTGCAGATCGCCAAGAATCTGTCATAGGACATTGCTGAGAGGAGGAAGCTCTCTGTCACACAAACACACCACACCAAATAAGAAAAATTGTACGAAACATCCAACAAGAGAAAAAATAGCCCCGTTACTAAGTAATATATGGAGCATGGGGGGGACAATGTTTGTGGTGAGCAAGACCTCCGACAGTGACAGATTGGAGAGGAACACATACATAGGAGAATGTGAGAGTCTAGAGAAGAACACCAACAAGATGATCAAGAGATTGCAGGTTAGAGTAACAGCGTAGGTGACCATAAAGAAGTTGAAGAGGACAAGTCTGTAGCCTTGGTGACTCCTCAACCCAATAATAAAGACGTTACTTACTGATGAGTTTTTCTGAAGGTCCGGAAAATGTTGGAGAGCAAATTCTTCCATACCTTAGTAAAGAAGAAACATATTTAAAGAAACCGATTTTGATGTTTTGTGAAACGTTTGTTCATTTGCCACTCAAGGAGACTGACCATTGTCAACTCACATCATTAACTTACTAACCGTTCCATATCTGCCATCCTCTCTGCCAATCCCTCCACTGGCCTCCACTCAGTGTCCTCCACCTCTCTCTGCCAATCCCTCCACTGGCCTCCATCTCTCTCTGCCAATCCCTCCACTGGCCTCCACTCAGTGCCCTCCACCTCTCTCTGCCAATCCCTCCACTGGCCTCCATCTCTCTCTGCCAATCCCTCCACTGGCCTCCACTCAGTACCCTCCACCCCTCTCTGCCAATCCCTCCACTGGCCTCCACTCAGTGCCCTCCACCCCTCTCTGCCAATCCCTCCACTGGCCTCCACTCAGTGCCCTCCACCCCTCTCTGCCAATCCCTCCACTGGCCTCCACTCAGTACCCTCCACCCCTCTCTGCCAATCCCTCCACTGGCCTCCACTCAGTGCCCTCCACCCCTCTCTGCCAATCCCTCCACTGGCCTCCACTCAGTGTCCTCCACCCCTCTCTGCCAATCCCTCCACTGGCCTCCACTCAGTGTCCTCCACTCCTCTCTGCCAATCCCTCCACTGGCCTCCATTCAGTGTCCTCCACTCCTCTCTGCCAATCCCTCCACTGGCTTCCATTTACATCCCTCTCTACCAATCCCTCAGTGTCCTCCACCCCTCTCTGCCAATCCCTCCACTGGCTTCCATTTAGTGTCCTACATCCCTCTCTATCAATCCCTCCAGTGTCCTCCTCCTCTCTCTGCCAATCCCTCCACTGGCCTCCACTCAGTGTCCTCAACCCCTTTCTGCCATCCCTCCACTGGCCTCTATCCCTCTCTGCCAATCCCTCCACTGGCCTCCACTCAGTGTCCTCCACCCCTCTCTGCCAATCCCTCCTCTGGCCTCCACTCAATGTCCTCCACCCCTCTCTGCCAATCCCTCCACTGGCTTCCCATTGCCCAACAAATAAAATTCAAAACATTAACAATAAAATATAAAACCATTTATAACTCCGCCCCAAATTACATCACCGATCTTGTCTCCAAATATCACCCAAACTGTCATCTCTGCTCCTCGCACGACCTCCTGCTCTCTAGCTCCCTTGTCTCCTCCTCCCATGCTCATCTCCAGTGTGGGGAAATATGAGCTAGGGCTATTGATTCAGGTATACCATTTTGTATTCATTATGCTTGCATTGTGACAGGAGTTAGAGTGATGCTTTAAGTAGATGAAATTATTATGTCTTAAGTAAAGAAATGTCAGCATTATTGTCGAGCTTATATGGAAAATTTTAATTGTAACAAGTACAACCGCAAAATGTTACAGGAAGAACGCTAGACTGCAGGTGTCTTCAAAATATCGTAGCAAACATAGATAGATGTTCAGATAAGAGATCTGGGGACACAGCCAAAAATGGCAGAATGTACTGACTGAGGTTAACATTTTAACAGTTTAAGTAAAAGGTGCACCTTGTCTAGTATCTGGGTAGAAGTTAAAGGTACGCTTTACTATTGGATAATTTGAGTTTGTCTTACTATTGGATAATTTGAGTTTGTCTTACTATTGGATAATTTGGGTTTGTGGTTTTTGCCTTTATAAGCTGTAATGTACGTAATAAACTTTGCAATCTTCCTGTATCCTACTTGAGTGTTGGTTATGTTGATTGCCCGATCGCGATCGAGCCCGTGCCACACACCCAGACGCTGCGCAGCACAAAGAAAATATAGGATAATAAGAATATAAGGATTCCAGGAAAGGGGGAAATCCTAACAGCCAGGACTTCTCCAGAGCTTCCGCCATCCTCTGGAACTCTCTACCCCAATCTATCAGACTATCGCCTACTCTGCCCACTTTTAGGTGATCTCTGAAAACCGATCTCTTCAGGGAAGACTAAACTGCCTTCAGCTAATAACTGAATCTTCTATTCCTGAGTCCATCCCCCACAGTTATTACCTTTTGTACCACCAGCCCCTCCCTCCTAGATTGTAAGCTCCCAGGATCAGGACCCTCCTATCCTCTTGTACTGAACTGTATTGTTGCTGTATTGTCTCCCGTTATATTGTAAAGCGCTGAGCAAACTGTTGATGCCATAAATCCTGTGTAATAATAATAAATATATAAATCCTGTATAATAATAATAATAATAATAAATCCTGTATAATAATAATAATAATAATAATAATAATAATATATAAATCCTGTATAATAAATAATAATATCCTGTATAATAATAATAAATATATAAATCCTGTATAATAATAATAATAATAATAATAATAATATAAAATCCTAATAATAATAATAATAATAATAATAATAATAATATATAAATCCTGTAATAATAATAATATAATAATAATAATATATATAAATCCTGTATAATAATAATATAATAATAAATCCTGTATAATAATAATAATATAAATCCTGTATAATAATAATAATAATAATAATAATATATAATCCTGTAATAATAATAATATAAATCCTGTATAATAATAATAATAATAATAATAATATATAAAATATCCTGTATAATAATAATAATAATAATAATATATAAATCCTGTATAATAATAATAATAAGTTAAGAACATTGAAATTTTGCCTGGTCCCAAAAATGTATTAGTTTTCCAGGTACCCAGCAGAAATATATTTTAGAGTAATCAGTATAGGGGCTCATTTACTGAAGTTTCAAATGAGATAAAGTGAGGAGAGGTGAAAAGAACCTGGGCCTAATGCTTCTTTTACCAAAAGATTTTATTGAAAACATAAAAATACAATATTAGTCCCAGGTGAATGATATTACATTAGGTCAGGAAGCATGAAATATCATTACCAGAAACACACAATGAAGGATCACTACACCAGAAAGCGTGAAGATCAAATGGTGATATCCATAAAACAATGAGAAAAAGTGACGGAACATTTAAAAAATACAGGCTTCATTTTTTCTATAGTGTGAGGTGAAAATAATCCGTAATCAAACAGCCAGTCATATTTAAAATATCAATATTTAACAATTAAAAACACAAGTTTCTTCATATTATTCAATATTAAACATGTATGTAAAACTTTAGCCACTTGACCTCCGGAAGGTTTTACCCCCTTCATGACCATTTTGTTGCTATTCAGCACTGCGCTGCTTTAACTGGCACGGTACCCAAACAACAATTCTACAATTTTTTTCACACAAACAGAGCTTTCTTTTGGTGATACTTGATCACCACTTTTTTTTTATTTTTTGCAATATAAACAAAAAATACTATATTTTCTACTTTATGTTGTAAATAAACATCCAATAAATTCATATGTTCAAAATCATTAGCCTGGACCCTATGACCTGATCGGTGCTGTACCAAATTATAACACCTTCGGGCAGGTGTGTGCACGTGACCCCTGCCCATGAGCACGGATCACGTAATAGATCCATGATCCAGTGCAAGAGCACCACTCTGCCACCATATATGTTATAGGGTCAGCAAGCGGTTAAAATTGTTTTGCCTGTTTGAATAATGCCGATAGACAGTAGAGGGTGCATGTATAAAAGTAATATCCCAAAGCTGTTCATCCATGCATGTTCACACGCTATTTCCTCTGTATTTTGAAAGAGTGAATGAGGAAAATGCAATGTATACCGACTTAGGGTCACTAAATGGTGCTGCCAATCATAGGATGTACGTATGCTCCTTCTGCCGTTGAGCAAATGTAGAATGTTGTGTCCCTGCACCTTTAAGTAGGATGGGGCTACTTCCAAGGCATACCTGCTCTCAATGTATTCATTAATATATATCTTTCAAAACAGGAGCTCTGCTAGGCTGGGACCATACTCACAGAGGGGCCTTGGCAACCAATTGGCTTTATGCATGTAGTGCTACCCCTCAGCGGCCGCCAAATTTAACTGGCTCCATCCCACAGTGTAGAGGCTGCCAATCAACCAAGCACCAGTCCATTCATTCCTGCTCCATTCTGGGGGGTTTTCTTTTTGCAATTTCTTGCTTGCAGAACTGGTAACAGGAGAGGGGTCAGGGAATGGGATACTTCAAAAACAGTTTGAGGATAATCTTCTCCCAAAGTAAAGATGAACACTGAACAGTCTATTCCCTCACTGCTGAAGACCATAGAGCTGTTCCAATATATATATATATATATACAGTGGGGCAAAAAAGTATTTAGTCCCCACCAATTGTGCAAGTTCTCCCACTTACAAAGATGACAGAGGCCTGTAATTGGCATCATAGGGAGACCTCAACTATGAGAGACAAAATAAAAAAACAAATCCAGACAATCACATTGGCTGATTTGGAAAGAATTTATTTGCACATTATGGTGGAAAATAAGTATTTGGTCACCTACAAACAAGCAAGATTTCTGGCTCTCACAGACCTGTACCTTCTTTTTTAAGAGGCTTCTCTGTCCTGCACTCATTACCTGTATCAGTGGCACCTGTTTGAACTTGTTATCAGTATAAAAGACACCTGTCCACAACCTCAAACAGTCACACTCCAAACTCTACTATGGTGAAGACCAAAGAGCTGTCGAAGGACACCAGAAACACAATTGTAGACCTGCACCAGGCTGGGAAGACTGAATCTGCAATAGGCAAGCAGCTTGGTGTGAACAAATCAACTGTGGGAGCAATAATTAGAAAATGGAAGACATACAAGACCACTGATAATCTCCCTCGATCTGGGGCTCCATGCAAGATCTCACCCCGTGGGGTCAAAATGATCACAAGAACGGTGAGCAAAAATCCCAGGACCACACGGGGGGGACCTAGTGAATGACCTGCAGAGAGCTGGGACCAACGTAACAAAGGCTACCATCAGTAACACACTACGCTGCCAGGGACTCAGATCCTGCAGTGCCAGACGCGTCCCCCTGCTTAAGCCAGTACATGTCCGGGTCCGTCTGAAGTTTGCTAGAGAGCATTTGGATGATCCAGAAGAGGATTGGGAGAATGTCATATGGTCAGATGAAACCAAAATAGAACTGTTTGGTAGAAACACAACTCGTCATGTTTGGAGGAGAGAGAATGCTGAGTTGCATCCAAAGAACACCATACCTACTGTGAAGCATGGGGGTGGCAACATCATGTTTTGGGGCTGTTTCTCCGCAAAGGGACCAGGACGACTGATCCATGTACAAGACAGAATGAATGGGGCCATGTATCATGAGATTTTGAGAGCAAACCTCCTTCCATCAGCAAGGGCATTGAAGATGAAACGTGGCTCGGTCTTCCAACATGACAATGATCCCAAACATACCACCTGGGCAATGAAGGAGTGGCTTCGTAAGAAGCATTTCAAGGTCCTGGAGTGGCCTAGCCAGTCTCCAGATCTCAACCCATAGAAAACCTTTGGAGGGAGTTGAAAGTCTGTGTTGCCCAGCGACAGCCCCAAAACATCACTGCTCTAGAGGAGATCTGCATGGAGGAGGAGATCTGCATGGAGGATGGGCCAACATACCAGCAACAGTGTGTGCCAACCTTGTGAAGACTTACAGGAAACATTTGACCTCTGTCATTGCCAACAAAGGATATATAACAAAGTATTGAGATGAACTTTTGATATTCACCAAATACTTATTTTCCACCATAATTTGCAAATAAATTCTTTCCAAATCAGCCAATGTGATTGTCTGGATTTTTTTTTCTCATTTTGTCTCTCATAGTTGAGGTCTACCTATGATGCCAATTACAGGCCTCTCTCATCTTTGTAAGTGGAAGAACTTGCACAATTGGTGGCTGACTAAATACTTTTTTGCCCCACTGTATATATATATATATATATATATATATATATACACACTATGCAGTCACAGGGATCACTTTTAGGGCCTTTACTCACAAGTATCCATTACAGATGCCTTCTTCCAGTTTTTTTCAGACACCACTCAGTGAAGGAGACAATTCTTTTCCAGACCAAATCCCTTGAAG